AATAAATAAATAAATAAATAAATACGTTGCGTTCAGGGCACACAGAATATCGCGGGAATTCCAGGACCCGCGACTAATTAAATTTAAGACTGAAACGAGTAAAGTTTGAAAGGCCAGGTTACAAAGCTATACTATCCGACCGAGTACCGAGTCGGTCGTAAACTATGGCGACGTGGCAAGAAGACTGAAGGAAGTCGAATGAAAAATTTGTCCGATTCTGACCTTTTTCAGGGTACATGTAAGCGTTTCATTGAAGGAGAACAATCATGGGATTGTGTAAATGTCCTAAGAAGAAGGTCACTACACAGTTTTGCTTCGAACATCGTGTGAATGTTTGTGAACACTGCCTGGTTTCAAACCACCCAAAAGTAAGTGATATGAAACTATTACTTCGTTATGTTTTACTCTTTAATCTCTTTGGAATGAAATGTTCATGAAACTGGTTTATAAACCAATGATTTTAATTTTAATGATAAACTGTCCAAGCTATTTGCGTTTTGAAAGATTACATGTACATGTACTTGTTTGTGAGGCGGTTAGAATCGTTTTTAAATATTGGTGTTTTTAAATGGTATTGGCTGTAGACCTGTAATCCTGCACAACGTTAAGGCCTAGAAATTTTCAATCCAAACCGGGAGATCAGTGTTCAAGAATGGAGGCGTAGATTCCCTTTAAGTAAACATTACAAACATGTAAACACTGCAGCAAATCGAAGAATTTTAAAAAACCACAGGGAATGTTAAACAAAACCTGCTCATCTGGTCTGCTCTCCGAACGACAACAACATCTTTATTCATCTTTATTTATCTTCATTTATTTATATATATATTTTTATATTTAGCATTTAATGAATTTAGAACGTTACAGTTAGGTGACAATAGACCAATTTCGATATATTAAAATTCAGCCTAACACAATAGCCCTCAGCACGAGGCTCTGGGAAATAAACCCCACAAACTCTGTAGTTAGAGCCTTGCACTGAGGTCTATTGTTTTAGGCTGAATTTTAATCTATCTGGAGGTTCAATGTACCATTAGGTTTTCGAGTTAGCCTCCTGCCTAGTTATGTTAATTTGAAAGACAGGGAAGATATATACAGTTTACAGTTTAGTTGAAGGAAGACAAAAAAGTAAAACCAAAAAGAAACCTAATTCAGGTATTGAAATTGACATGTTGTGCAGGAGAAAGTAAAAGTTTAAATTTTGAAAAATAATTCTTTCTACATATACTTTTCTTCATGTATTAGTTGAGTACATTATGAGATCTAAGAGTTCATGCAAGAGCTGTTCATGACAATGTTTTGCTAAATGCAGGCACAAGCAACACATTGTGCAGGTAACTACATTTTGTAAATCCTTGGTTACATGCTGTAAGTATACTGATGTAAGTATAATAATATTAATAACTTTCATTCTTTTCTTTAGTGTATAGTTAAATCTTATCTACACTGGCTTCAAGACAGTGACTACAATCCAGTTTGTACTTTATGTAATGGAAGTTTAGCTGAAGGAGATGTTGTCAGGCTAATTTGCTTCGGTAAGGTACCAGTTTTCTGTGCATTAATTTGCTAAAATTTCTTGTAACATTGATATGTGCGTCTTTGTGGAGTAATTTGTGGTCGAATAATTAACAATTAGTGGACAAGGTTGAGCAAATTATTGTGATTTGTTAGTGGTGAGGAGATCAATTATCTGTCGAAGTCAAATGCTGTGGCAAATAATTGATCTGTGAAATACTGACAAATCATGACATTTCTGTTTTCATTCGATAGCCAAGTTAGTTTTCATGAGTATTTAAATCACTCTCTGTCGGCTCAGGGAATCGATCTGTTATTTTCCATACAAGAGCATGGTTACAATTACGCATGAGGAGAATAGTATTTGCAGCGAAACACATTTAAGGTGATTCCTCACATTTGCATTACAATAACTTGGAAAATGTTCTCGTAATAAGCATTAAATAATGCTAAAATGGGACATTTTTAATGCCTCACTGCTCCTTAACGTGCATGGGCACCCCCCTTTTTATTTTATAATTAGAGTTCTCATATGATAACTATTCAGTGGACAAAGTTTGAACAAAAATCTATTGGCAGTTTTATTTCAGGGGAATTACCTTAAATGGTGCTACAGGTGAACTGACCATTATTTGTGGGCAGTTATTTGCAGGTCACATCGTGGGCTCTCGCCCAATGAAAAGGAAGGAAAAATTGATCAAATGATACTGTAGTTTATTAAATGGCTTGCTGAGTCAGGAGGCACTCCCCATAAATGGGATTTTAGTCAATGGCAGGTTATTTCTACCCAGGATCATGTCAGTTGGACTAACAATAACTCAAGTCCCACTGTTTTTGCAAAAATCCTGTACAAAGAATATATTATCTTTTTTCCTTTTTTTTTTTTTCAGATGTATTTCATTGGGGTTGTCTAAACAGTTATGCAGCAAGTCTTCCAACTAACACAGCTCCTGCAGGTTACACTTGTCCCAACTGCAAGGTGTGTGATTAAATCTTATTTGTCTTTAGACGTAATGGGATCAGTTTATTTAGGTTGTCACTGAGCAGGAAGGCAATATTAGTTCCCAAAGACAGGCAATAATTTTGAATACAACTTTATACTGAAAAAAATCCCTGTGGTACATGTTGATGTGCTTGAAGCAAGAAACAAAGTCGTGCTCACAACTGGTCGATTTGCTCTGTGACCATCCTGAGAGCTTCCTCTCGTAAAGGAGTTGCAATGTAGTGTGACATACATGTACAAAGTTAAAATAGAAATAATATATTGAGTAGTACAGGTCTTTCTTATCTTTTTCTCAACTCTAATTTCATCAACTTCCTTTGGTGAACTTCACGTTCCCTAAAAGGGAAAATTGAGACTGGATGGATGTACATGTAACTGGTTTCACAAGAGCCATCTTATTTTGTCTTGGGCTACTTAGAATGTAAGAAAACTGGTGAAGTTAGTGATTTGGAAATGGGGTTAACTTCAATTTGTTGGTATTTTTAGTCACCAGTGTTTCCTCCAGAGAAGCAAGTTTCTCCTGTTGCAGACCAATTGAGACAGATGCTAGCCAGTGCACCATGGGCCCGTGTGGGTCTTGGGCTCCCAGTGGTGAGTATGTTACAGCTGCTACTTAACAATTTATTCATACTTTAGAATCCACCATCGAGTTATGATGCACAAAGGGAGCATAAAAGAAGGGAGGGAATCGTAGGAATTGTTTGAGGTTCAGCCAAGAGCAACTCTACATGTAGCTTCTGTAGTGCTCTCCAAGCTTTCAAAGGACATCATAACTTGATGATGCACTGATAAAAGTCTGAGTCAATAATTGTTTTATAACATTGCCAATAGACATGGCAAAAGGAAGTTTTGAATTGATCTTTGCTCTTGCCAGAGGCCTGGAAATAATTGGATTATGATGTGTGTGTATGTATACTGCTGGGTGGTAGCTAAGAAAATGCTATGTGTCTGAGATTTTCATTTAGCTATCTTAAAGAAGGGGAGTATTTGCAGCTTATTGACCCACAGTAGTAATGTGATTGTCGACCAAAATCCAGCTTCAGCCGGCACTTAGAGACAACCCTGATACTGAGATTGATAGCATGACTTTGTCTGCTATGTTGTAAAAATGCTTTAAAGAGTAGTTTTTTTGCTTATTTAAGTTTAATGTATTCTTTTGCTGTATGATTTTCTCTGTATTATACAAAACAAAATGGTTGTTGTTGTTTAAAGAAGGTCTTGCAAAAAGTGTTTTGGATCACCGCTGACTAGGAATTGTGATTAAATTCAGTTTTCATTTGTCAGGTGCCAGCCTCAAGCTCGTCCAGCTCAGCAGTATCTGAAAGCAGTGTGTCTAGACATGAAGCTGATGTTGGTAAGCAAGTGAATATAAAATTACTGCATTTTGTAAGCTGTTGAAACTGAAGTATTGGTATCATACAACTCCGCATGAAAATGTTTTACACAAGTTGCAAGTGTATGTACGCAAGTTGCCTTGTGTATACAGGTATGCAAGTATTGATTTTAAACCTTGGGTTACAAAATATGTAAAAGTTACCTAACAATTTAAGTCTACCAATGAGGCAGGGCTTATCGCAGGCTCTGAAGCGTACATGTATATTTGTACTGTATATTTATTGCCTAAAACACAACACAAAGCAAACCAAGGCTTGAACACCCAGGCTCCTTAATCTAGAGGCAAACACGCTAACCATTGACCACTGCACCTGTGAGAAACTAGCAGGTGAAAAATGGTCAGCTGCATTTTTCCTTGAGAAATTTTCAATTATTGTTACACATATGTTTTCTCATCAGTCTCTCAAGTGGCAGACAGTCACAGGAAAACAGCTACAAACGGACACAGTGACTCATACTTAGTCACCCAGGCTTCTAGTCAACCCCCTCCTTATACGTCCACCCCACTAAGTACCAAAACAGAGCTCAGATCAGCCAGAGACCACGTAGTGGACGTGCGACAACAGAATACGGTGGTACCACCCCCGCAGCAGGCTCATGCTCGCTCAGACAAACCAAGTAAGTTTGAGACCTTCAAGATATCAGTGACATTTAACAATGTGATTCAGGCCGGGGTTGTTTGAAAGGTGGATAACTCTATCCACTGGATAAATCATTATCCAACTGATAGTGTGGTTTGTTTTGTTAACACTTGTCCACTGGAAAGGAATTTATCCGGTGGATAGTGTTATCCAGCCTTTGAACAACTAGGGCCAGAATAATAGTTGGTCCAGGTTTTTATTAGGGGTTAAAGCCCCAAGCCGACTTTCAAAGTCAATACAAAATGAAAGCAAATGGTTTTGGTGGTCTGTTGAGCATAGATTGTTAGCACTTTGTATTTGTTTTGTTGCTGTTTTTTTTCTAAATGGGAATTTTTTTGTTTTTACATGTGTCATTCATTTGTTTGTTTGTTTATCATCCAGGCACAGTTTCAAGGAAGATATTCAACACTCGGGAGGCTGTGGACAGTATTCCTTATGACCATGATGAGAATAAATACCAAAGAAGAGGTGCTATAGACTGGTTCACAAGATGGTTCTGGTGAGCAACACACATTTACTCCTTACTGGTATTCTTATTTGGGCCTGTTGAACTGGCTTGGAGACTTTTAGGGCATGCCTTATTGATCAGCGTCAAAAAATGTTGATAATCGGTATGGCTGACTTTGTTAATTGGATCTTTTATCACAAGATTAGATCTTGGTGTACTGTTAAAAGAACTAGAATTCAGATCAACAGCACAGGCTGAGGTTACAGTGGCATGCTTTGGGACACTCCTAACTAACCCTACCCAGCTCTACCAAGTGCTTTATATTCGCAGCAGTTAAGGGCCGGGAACCAGGCAAACTGACTGGTTGTGGTTCAATTGACAATCTTCACAATAGATATGTGGAGGCGCACTGGCCTCTTGGTTAGTACGCTCGCCTCAGGAGCGAGCGGTCCGGGCTCGAGCCTTGACTGGGGGCATTGTGTTGTGTTCTTGGGCAAGGCACTTTACTCTCACAGTGCCTCTCTCCACCCAGGTGTATAAATGGGTACCAGCGAATTTAATGACGAGGGGTAACTCTGCTATGGACTAGCATCCCATCCAGGGTGGAGTAGAAATACTCCTAGTCGCTTCATGATTCAAAAACCGGGAAAGCACCGGCCTGATGGCCACTTGGCTGGTATGCAGACTTTACCTACCTTGCCACACCCTACCCTACCCTCTCCTACGCTGCCCTACTCTGCGCTGTCCTGCCCAACCCTAGTAGTTGTTTTCTTTGGATAGAGACTGTAATTAAACACCATCATGGATTGTTATTATTTTTGCTTCAGGTCTCGAAGACCAAAAAAGCCTGGACCCGAGGATCCCAACGCCTCCTTAAAACGGACAACCGTCATGTTGATTCTGCTCGTCCTCGCCTTTACCACCATAGTCGTTCTATTTACGCGTGTTGGACGAGGAATGGCCGATAAAGACCCTTTTCTGGATCCCATGGCGAATCCCAATATAAGAGTCAGAGGTGGAAAAATGGACAACGCGTGAATCTACAGCATCGCTAACGCTTGGATCGATATCAAAGGACTTCAAGAATGAACAAAAACCAGCACACCCAGAAATGGAAGAGTTTTATTTCGCTTTCCGTCTCTTCACAATAGAATACTCAGACTACTTTTGATTTTGTATATTTGCGCAAGAGGAAATTGCGATCCGTAAATATTGTAACTTCGTATCTCGTACGGTCCTTGTTGAAGAGAGTTCCGCAGGGATTTAGAACTTATTTTAAAAACCTCCTGCTCACTC